GTGAGTCATCTGTAGCTCAGCTCCCAGCTCCCATTGTTCTTTTCATGTTGTTTAAGAACAATTGGAAAGGGCAACATTTACTTGATTTGGAGGGGGGTATATTTTCCCAGGTTTTTATATTTTTTTGAGGAAAAAAATCCCATCCTCCAGCAGTCTTGAGAATGAATTGTCAGGCTTCCAGCATGTGTGTGGGTAGTCCACTAAAGTCAGAAAGGAATTACTTTCACTTGATTTCTAGAACAGTAACTGTATTGGTCTATTGAATATTTTAAAAACCCCTTGGTTTTTTTTTATTTGAGAGTAACCTCATCTAACTCTGAGTAGACTTGCATAGGATGGGGAATTCTTATCTGAGACAGCCATGGTGAAAATTGAAGCGGAGTCTTCTTTATTCCAGATTAGTTAATCCAGAACTATCATCAGATCTGTCTCTGCCCACCAGCAGATTTCCCCTGCTGCTCTCACCCCTCAGATTTCCCCCGAGGGAATGAGGCGTTAGGAAGAAAAATGTATGCATACCCTGTATGTTAAAGCAATCCTTTATGTTGGTTGTTTTTAAAAAAAAATCAAAAAAATCTATGAAGCCAGCAGCAGTAGGGGAAATAGAAGTAATTCTAGGTGGTAGCACTTTTTTGTTTCTTGTCTCACTGAGCTAGGAGCAGAGCAAACATCATTTATTTACCATTTCAACATCTTAGTCTGCAAGCAGCGTTGAGTAAGGTTAGAAATGTACAATAAACTCAGAAAACGTTCTTAAAATGCCTGCTGAAATGATAGGAAGTCTTCACTAGCTGTTGGGCATTCAACTGGAAAGGCACCTGTTATTATGATGATGATTAATAATAATAATAATAATCGTGTCTGATCTCAGCTGAGAGGGAGTGCCGCAGAACCATGCATCTCAGCTGAAGGACACCACTAACAGCAGGTATGAATCTAGGTGAGGCAGTGGCCTCAGGGTGGCAGAGTCCAGTTGGAAGGAGGGCCACCTGGTCACCCTGCTGCTGTCTGCGCCCCTGCCTGCATGCCCACCTCTTCCACTATGTGGTTGTGTGTCCACCACTGGCAGATGGTGGAAACATTGTGCAAATCCAGGAAATGAAAGGAAAACTATTGGGAGTGGGTGGGTTCCTTGCCACTCCCCAGCCTGAGTGGGAAAATGAGAATCTTGGGAACTACTGATAAGCACATGTTAGGAAACCAATCTTCTTCCTTCCTTCCTGAATGGGGATAGAATTAGTTATTACATTGGTCTGGCATGCTAAACAAGCAACATCATTAGAATCCATTAATGGAATAGTATTTTGGAATGTGGCAGAGTTTGGAATCCCTTCAAGTCTAAGGAGTCCCATCTGCCATGCAACAAGGTGGTGCAAGATAACCTCGGATACGTCTTGCTTCTCGCTCGGCTCAGGTTATTCCACCGTTTGTATCAAATGAAAGGAACGGATAAAAGTTGGGGGGGGGAGGAACCAATATGTAAAAGAACTTGTTTCAATTTATGCAAACCTTCCATTTTCTGAAGTCCATGAGAAGGTCAAAGTGAAAGTTCAAAGTCAGAAGCCATGAATCTCTCAGACACTGATTCTGATCAGAGAAATAAATGTGAGTTATGCTAGTATTTTCAATGATATATGATTTGCTGGGATGCAGAGCAATCCTAATGAGGGGCTAGGGAGGTGAAGAGTGGCAGATGTTCTGCTGCATTTGAAGCCTGCTGGCTAAACACAGAAGAGCAATGGGTTGGTTTGTTTTTTTGCTGTGCCCTGGATACGAAGGCTTCCATTGCCCTGCCTTGAAACTCCCTATTGGCTGGAGGGAATTAGGATTGTAGCCATAAATACTAATATGGCATCAGGTTAGTAATTTTGTCCAGTTATTCTGACACTTGCAGCTCCAATCCCATTCATATCTCCTCGGAAGCGAGTTCCATTGAGTTCATTGGTGCTTAGTCACTACTAAATATGCTTAACTCTCCAGTTTTATTGAAGCAAATGTATCACCACTCCTTAATTACATAATAGAAGTGTTTGTTTTCTGGGCATTTCTCTAAAACACAAGTTTCTGTATGGCGATACTGAGCTCTAAATATTGACAGGATTTCAAATAATTACTTTAACCATGCCCAAAGCTTAAGCATGCACTGTGTTTGTTTGTTTTTCCTCTGAATGGCAGAACTGCAGTGCCATATCAAAAACAGCCTTTAATGTTGTTTCAAACAAGCTTGGCTATGAGGCAGAATGGGCTGCTATTTGAGAAACAGAACCTCATTGAGTGTGCAAAACCAACTGTGGTGTTCTCCGAATCCAGCCTGCTTTTTGTGGAGCTGATAATAAAAACCTTCCTTTTGAATACTTACAGTGTTGATGGTTTCCATTTTCAAGTGTTGCTTTATTCCTATTTTACCATCTTGCCAAAACTAAGATACCATGCAGCATAATCCCAGGCATGTTTACTCAGAAATAAGCCCTGCTATAGTCAGTGGAGCTTACTCTCTGCTAGGTTTGTTTAGGATTGCGGTCTTAAAAGTGCAGCAGCTTGCTATTCTGTCAGTAACCATGGGCATATTTGTAATTATTGTTTGAATAAAATTAAGGCATTTACGCTTCTAAATGTTCTAAATATACTGAACAGAACAATTTTCTTACAGCAGTAAACTAGATTTTATAAAGTGTTGTATATATTTCAGTTTTTCCCTATAAACATTGGTCAACCCCACAGCCCTGCTACACACCCCTGGCAAATGTTCATCCCATTGTTGTTCTGGAAATTTTACATCTCTGTTCCACATATTCCTGGTTGTTTGTTGATCGTTTCTTTTAAATGGCTACGTTTCTTAACTCAGTGTTATCCGTAATGTCAGCATGGGAAAAATTAGCAGTGAAATTCTAACGATGTGTTTTAAATCGCCGATGGTGTAGAATAAAGGCAGTCTATCCTTTTAGCTTTGTGAGCACACTTGTTTTACCAGTTCCGTTTGGCAGCTGACAGAAATATTAGCAAATTGCAAAATATTCAGAATGCTATAGTGAATATGTAAGACATTTGCTTTCATATACCACCTCCGCCCAGGATAGCAGAGACCATAAGAATAAATCCATCACTAAAACTACCCCACTGTGCTAAAGGTCAACAGAGATCCTTAGGGGTGAAGTGGCACTTGCCTATCAAAATGCTAAAAACCGAGAGGTGAAAGAAATCAAGTACAACCATTATCCATTTCAGAATATGAGGCATTCAAATTCCAGTGTATCAAGCTCATGCTCTGATACCCAGAACAGAATGGCACAGCATGGCTCCATTCCATGACAAAGAGAGTAAGAATAATGGAAAATAATGCAAAGTTAGCCTCTTCTTGTTAAAAGGCGTCGTATTCTAGTGGCCGTCTTCTATCACAGCGCAGATAATAATGGCATTTTAGTCTTAGTGTATGGTTAAGGAAAGCCCTAATCTAATAATTGCCAAAACTGGCCTTTGTATCCCATGCATGAATATTTGCACACATGGCAGAAGAAGAACTGTGTTCTGTCGTTTGTAGCATGAGGAAAGAGTAAGCAACCGAGAGCTCTCAAAATGAAACAACATTCCCAACTTGAAATTGTTCATAAGAGACATATGGAAAAGTGACAATATTGCCATGTGCCGTCTCATTTAGAGGTAAACAAATCACACATGAATACATCTTAACACAACTGAAGACTTATTTCACTTTTCACGGCTGAGGCTTCTCACCGTGTTTAAACAAGCAAATGCCAATCACAAGTGATTCAGGACTAAGTATCTTGCTTGTCTACTATGCAAGTAGGAAAGAGAGAGAGAGAGAGAGAAATTCATAGTCTATGGATAACTAATAATAATAATAATAATTTATTATTTGTACCCCGCCCATCTGGCTGGGTTTCCCCAACCACTCTGGGCGGCTTCCAACAAAGATTAAAAATACATTAAAATGTCACACATTAAAAACTTTCCTGAACAGGGCTGCCTTCAGATGTCTTCTAAATGTCAGGTAGTTGTTTATCTCTTTGACATATGATGGGAGGGCGTTCCACATGGCGGGCGCCACTACCGAGAAGGCCCTCTGCCTGGTTCCCTGTAGCTTTGCTTCTCACAGTGAGGGAACCGCCAGAAGGCCTTTGGCGCTGGACCTCAGTGTCCGGGCAGAACGATGGGGGTGGAGATGCTCCTTCAGGTATACTGGGCCGAGGCCATTTAGGGCTTTAAAGGTCAACACCAATTGTGCTCGGAAACTTACTGGGAGAGGTACCAAATCCAAGTTTCTGTTTTCAAATCCCTTTCCCCTCATGCTATGGGGTGATAGGCTGTGGGCACTTGTATGCGGCTATATTACTTTTTTGCACATGCCCAATACATTCCACTCCTAATTCCTCTTCATGGTCTTTGTACGCACACACAGCTTCTGTACCTGTGCAAAGCAGTGTTACTCCCTACTTTCCAGAATTTGTGTCTAATATGCATGCCTTCAGGAGCAGAGCAATATGTGCCACTGCTTTCTGCAGGAGTAGTTCACCACCTTTGAAAAGACCAAGTAATATGTTTCTTTGTGCGTTCTAGGGCAATGAGCTCTGACTCACAGCCCTGTTCTTTACAGAGGACTATGTACACTTACTTATGCATTCCTTTAGTCCATTAAAAGAAGAGGGAAGGGCGAGTCAAATGTTTTCATCCTGGAAAGTAACTGTCTGTCTGAATGTAACCTTTCTTGTAAGCAGTTTGTTCACACAGATAAAAGATGTTGTTTAGTAAGAAGGAGCACATGTAATCTCAATTGAATGGCCTCTTTCTATGTTTGAACAATGCAAAAGCTATTCAGAGTAACACTCTCATTTTATAGCCGTGCCAGTATGAATCCCAGAATCGTCGAGTTGGAAGGGACCCTGAGGATCATCTAGTCCAACCCCCTACAATGCAGGAATATTCAGCTGTCCCATATGAGGATCGTACCTGTAACCTTGACATTATCAGCACCACGCTCTAAC